AGACTAGATTTCAAGGATGTTTTACAATGACTGTATTAGGGGAAAAAATCACCAGGTCATCGCTACCACTTGATGGCCCATTACCCTATATACATGGGAGAATCAGTTTGGTTTGTCATGCAAACTAGAAATCACAGCATGTGTATATATGGGCTGGGAGGGGAGGGGTGATAGTGGCAGGAAGTTAAGGGTAGCCTGGCTCCAGGGGTGGTGGGATATACTGTCAGGGTTATACACTACAAACAAATTGTAGTCTTTCAAATTCAAAGTTTAAGGCACTGTTTAATTTAATTTTATCATTATTATTATTTCAGTAGGTTTTGGGGAACAGGCAGTTTTTGGTTACATGGAAAAGTTCTTTAGTGATGATTTCTGAGATTTTAGTGCACCCATCACCCCAGCTGTGTACACTGTACCCAATGTATATTCTTTTGTCCTTCATCTCCCTTCCACTATTCCCCCCGAGTGCAGAATCCATTGTATCATTCTTATGCCTTTGTGTCCTTATAGCTTAGCTTCCACTTATAAGTGAGGACATATGATGTTTGGTTTTCCATTCCTGAATTAGTTCACCTAGTGTAATGGTCTCCAACTTCATCCAGGTCACTGCAAATGCCATTATTCCATTCCTTTTTTATGGCCGAGTAGTATTCCATGGTATGTATATGTATGTGTGTATGTGTATATGTACATACACATACACATATATATATATACACACATACATACCCCATTTTATTTTTTCCACTTGTTAGTTGATGGACATTTAGGCTGTTTCAACATTTTTGCAATTGCAAATTGTGCTGCTAAAAACATCCATGTGCAAGTGTCTTTTTCATATAATGACTTACTTTCCTCTCGGTAGATACCCAGTAGTGGGATTGCTGGATCAAATGGCAGTTCTACCTTTAGTTCTTTAAGGAGTCTTATACTGTTTTCCATAGTGGTTGTACTAGTTTACATTCCCACCAGCAGTGTAAAAGTGTTCTCTTTTCACCACATCCATGCCAACATCTAGTATTTTTTGATTTTTTGATTATGGCATTCTTGCAGGAGTGAGGTGGTATCACATTGTGGTTTTGATTTGCATTTCCCTGATAATTAGTGAAGTTGAGCATTTTTTCAAGTTTGTTGGCCACTTGTATATCTTCTTTTGAGAATTATCTATTCATGTTTTTTTTCCACTTTTTGATGGGATTATTTGTTTTTTTCTTGCTGATTTATTTGAGTTCTTTGTAGGTTCTTGATATTTGTCCTTTGTCAGATGCAGAGAATGCAAATATTTTCTCCCATTCTGTGGGTTGTTTGTTTACTCTGCTGATTTTGCTGCGCAGAAGCTTTTTGGTTTAATTAAGTCCCATCTATTTATCTTTGTTCTTGTTGCATTTGCTTTTGGGTTCTTGGTCATGAACTCTTTGCCTAAGCCAACGTCTAGAGGAGTTTTTCTGAAGTTATTTTCTAGAATTTTTATGATGACGATCCAGTTTCATTCTTTTACGTGTGGCTTGCCAATTATCCCAGCACCATTTATTGAATATGGTGTCCTTTCCCCATTTTATGTTTTTGTTTGCTTTGTCAAAGGTCAGTTGGCTATAATATTTGGCTTTGTTTCTGGGTTCTCTATTCTGTTCCATTGGTCTACATGCCTATTTTTATATCAAAACCATGCTCTTTTGGTAAGTATAGCCTTGGTTCGAAATCGGGTAATGTGATGCCTTCAGATTTGTTCTTTTGTCTTAGTCTTGCTTTGGCTCTGCGGGTAAGGCTCTGTTTGAAAGTATGATGTGTTGATCACCTGCAGCAGATTACTTGGGGTGCTTATGAAAACGAAGATTCTGAGGCTTCACTTTGCACCTTATGAATCAGAAACTCTGAGTGTTACAATCAGGAATCTGTATTTCCAACAGTCTCCCTGAATGATTCTAGGATGTTGAGAACAACTGCAATCCTAAGTAAACAAGGCATTTGTCTGCTTTCTATCACTCCAACCACTAAAGCACCATCTGCCATCCTTTTATAGTCAGAGATTTTAGCATAGCACTTCAAAATGGCAGCCTTCTGGGTTACTAAAATAAAACACTTGCAGATTTTAGATCAAGTAAAATGAAAGTGTTACGGAATTCTAAAATTCCCATTGCTTGGTAACAATCTCATTATTTTGGCCACAAAGAGTTTTTAAGAATTCTCTTTTGTGAAATTCCTCTTTTGGAGAAGCTCTCACGTGCCTCTTGCCTGTTAAGCAAAATGCAACTATGACTGTCCGGATCTACACAGAAAAGGAAGAATATTATTGTTTAAGTAACAAACTTAACACATTTAACACAGAATTTAGCTTGCTAAAATATAGAATTCTAACCCAGTTTTTAGTACTTCGTCTATTTTGTAAATTGAGATAACCTTTTGATGTGGTTGGCTAGAAAATGGCTTTGTGTTGTGGGAAACCTGGAAAGGTCAGGAGGATTCAGCGGGAAAATGTATAGGTAAGTTAAAATTACCTGGAGTGCAACTAATTTTACCATCTCTGCAGAAACCCTGTATTGTGTGATAAGGCTGATTGGTTGTTGACCAGTCACTGACTCAATGCTCATTTCTGAGCATTTGGGATATGTGATTTCTGGAGGAACTGCCAAACTCAATTACTTGTACCTGCTGGGACCTAACACAGGCAAAGCCCAACTCATTGCAAATCTAAAATTCTGACATTCTTTTTCTCTAAAACTTTGGGCCTTTGAAAATATTTTCCTTAAGCAATAGAGACCTTAGCTCCAATGGTGTCTCTCCCAGTTTTTGCCATAAATAGTCCCCTTCTGGACAACTCGTACATACCTTTTACCTCTGTTTTTGTTTTGGGTCCTTTACTTCTCTGTCTTGACATGCATTTTGTTGTATAACCTTGTATCAGCAACAGAGAAGTTGTCTGCCTCAGGCAGTTTGGAATTATCACAGGGCCGAAACAAAGGGGCTTTTTGTGTTGTTGTTATGGCATGTTCAGGATTTCACTAGTTGATCCAGTAATTCTAACAAACTTAAATATTTAGGATTTTAAATGCATTTTACATCTTATCTGTTCAAAAATTGCTTCTATTTTAATAGTATTCTGGATATGATCTTTGAAAAACATGCTTTTCTCTAAAAAAGAGCCAAGGATTTAAGTTCAGTAATTTATATCTGTTGGTTGATAGTTTGATTGCATTTTTGTAGGAACCCATTCACTTTAAAGTGTTACTACAACTAGCATATATGTCTGTTTGGATTTTTAACTCTAAGAGATTAAAATGTTTTGTTTTTTCCTTTTAAAGCAGTTTTAGATATCAACAAGGAGATAAAATGAAGGCAACACCTCAAGGTTATAACTGGGATGCGAGTTGGGATAATAAAGGACTAATGACACAAGAGATGGTCTGGGGCATCTTCTCCAGAGTGTTCCCTCCACCCTAAGGGAGATGAGCTTACCTGGTTTAGTGAAGGATGCTGGAGTTCTTAATTCATCATCAGATTCTGCCAGGTCCCAGAACTTTTTGGGTGTGAGTAACAAGGACCCCAAATAATGGTGGCTTATCCAAATTAGAATTTTTTTCTCCTACATACAATTTTGTAAGTAGACAATTGTTGTGGATTGAATTGTGTCCCCCCAAAAGATATGTACCCCCAGAAAGATACCTTTCCCCTCCTTACACATTCACATTCCTTGTGAATGTGAATGTGGCCTTACATGGGAATAAGCTCTTTGCAGACGTCATCAAATTAAGATGAGGTTATACTGGATTACAATGTACTCTAGTCCAGTGACTGGTATCCTATTAAGAAGAGGGAAATTTGGACAGAAAGACACATAGAGACTGTGCCTTGTGATGACAGAGGCAGAGACTGGGACGATGTAACTACAAGCCAAGGATTGCCTGTGTAAGGGTAAATACAAATTAAAAATAAGAGGCTTAATTCTCCCTGTGAACATTTACTTTAGAAAACTTGTAATTATAAATTCTTTATCTGCTGTTAGAAATTATGTAAATCTTTTAAAAGGTAAATAAGCTTCTTTTCAACTTTCTTCTCTTTAGGAATGTCTTTTTTCCCTTACCTGGGAGTCATCTCTTTGAAATTCAATCATTAAGGAAGATGGTACCCCTATTTCCCAGTCTTCTTCTTCTCCTTCTTCTTCTTCTGAGTGGGAGCCTAACTTGGGCAGGCACCACTCTCTAAAACTATCTCTTGCCACAAAGATAGGAGAAATTTATTTTTCCTTTGGGTAGATCCAGTCAGCAAACACAGACTGTCACCCAGCTGCCAGGTGAATCTAGGATGTGTAACAAATGGTGCAATCAAGTCCTCTTACTTAAGGACTAGTTATTTGTTTATCTTGAGAACATGTATGGAATGAATTGTATAGGCTCATCTGTAGAAAAGAGTGAATTTTGTTTCCTAGGTTTGCAATCTCTTTGTGAAATGCCTATGATGAACATCCCATTCTAGTTCATGCTTACTGATTAATAAAATTTTCTTTTTCTTCTAGCTTTGTTGAAAGGTTTTCTGGGTTAAGTGACTATTTTGTTTTTAATTCATTTTCCCAACACCAGCAAACACCAGAGACAGGGGAGAGGCCAGGAAGGATCCATACCTAGAGGCTTCAGAGTGAGCATGGCCTTGGTTATGTGTTGATTTTGAACTTCTAGCCTCTAGAGCTATGAGAGGATAAATTTTTTCTCTTTTAAGCCACACAGTGTGTGGTATTTTATTTATTTATTTTTTTTGAGATGGAGTTTCACTCTTGTTGCCCAGGCTGGAGTGCAATGGCACAATCTCGGCTCACCACAACCTCCGCCTCCTGTGTTCAAGTGATTCTGCTGCCTCAGCCTCCCGAGTAGCTGGGATTACAGACACGTGCCACCACGCCTGGCTAATTTTGTATTTTTAGTAGAGATGGGGTTTCTCCATGTTGGTCAGGCTGGTCTCAAACTCCTGACCTCAGGTGATCTGCCCGCCTTGGCCTCCCAAAGTGTTGGGATTATAGGCGTAAGCTGCTGCACCTGGCCAGTTTGTGGTAATTTGTTATGGCAACCCTAGGAAAGTAACGTAGTAATCTAAGGCTGGATGGTAGCAATGCTTCTCAAAGTCCTCAAGGACTGAGTTCTTCTCTGGCCTTTATTCTGCCTTCCCTAAGGTCCTTGTCTTCGTAGTTCGAGATGGAGATCAGGCCATCACATCTGTATCCAAGCAGCCGGATGGAGGAAGAAGTAAGAAGGGGCCAACGGCTAATACCAATTGTTCCTTTAGGAAATCTTCTGAAAACTGTTACAGGAACTTCTACTTATATCCCATTGGGTTAAAGATCACAGAGCCACATCTAACTTGTTGGAAATTTAGTGCTTATTGAAAGTGGTCAGGTGTGTAGCTGAAAAAAAAATTACTATTAGAAGGGTGTAAACTAAAAAAGTGTCTAAGATAGTTCTCAATCAGTTTAGAGGTTTATTTTGCCAAGGTTGAGGATGCATCCAAGGAAAGAAGACACAAGCCACTTTGGCCTGTACTTTTTCCAAAGAGAATTTTGAGGGCTTTAATACTTAAAGGGGAAAAAGCAGGCAGGAGGATAAGGAGAAAAAAAAGAGACAAATGAGACAAGCGGTTACATTCTTTTGAGGCTTTGAGTAGCACTCACTGAATCCATATGTTGCATGGGAAGAGGAGCGGGTAGAGGAGTTTTTAATTATGTATTCATCTTATACTCAGTAGGTCTATATTTGACATAAGATAAAGTAAACAGAGTAGAGGAAGATGTCCAATAAGCATTCATCTCAAGGTGGGTGGAGGGGCTATTTCTAGTCTCCTCTTGTCCCACACCCATGAAGATAAGCTGTCAGTTTACATTTGTCTGGTGAGGGAGGCCCCCTGTGAAGATATGTGGACTTCTATCTTGTAGCTGTTTAGGAACAAAAGGAGAGACAGCTGTTTTTGCATGACTCAGTTTCCGAGCTTAACTTTTCTTTTTGGCATAGTGAGTTTGGGGTCCCAATATTTTATTTTCCTTTCATAAGGGGAAAAATAGAGATGAAGGACAACTTGTACTCTTTAATGTTCCCTCCTGTCCCCTTTCTTAGTTTGTCTTCCTGAATACATGACACATTCCTAATCTGAATTTAACACCTCTCACACTTTTTCTCTCCCCAGGATGGTTAGAGCCATATTTTGTAATTTTCTCTCAGAGTCAGATGTTATTTGATTAGTTTAAAAATATTTTCGTATACATAACATCCTTCCCTCAAATTGATGTTCTGAAATGAACCCCCATGACTGAAAAACCAGGCCCATCTCAGGCAGTAAGATTTCCAACCCAGCAAGGTGGCTTTGGGAATTCTTCATCAATGTTGAACTGTTACCATGGACATGCTTTCATAGGAAAAACGAATTCAAGAAGAAATAGAAAATAAAACTGTCCTTAAATAATCCATAAGTGACCTAACTCAATAGAAAGGCTGTTACATTGCAACACGTGGTACCAATTTCAAAATTACTGTCTTTCCACAAGCATCACTGTTTTAGAAAATATAAATGGGACGAACCTCAGAATGTAGTCTAAAAACTACAGAAATATTTTAATTTTCAGCTTTTATCATACTAATAAATAATGTGGTCTTTTAAAAAGATGTGACTAAATTTAGTTTTTTAATTGAATATTAATTTTGGGGGGCAGAATAAGTGATGGTGGTGGGATTTCCGGGTTTTTAAGCTTTGCTCTTCAATTCTACATTATCTCTAAATCCTTACAACAAATAAAGTTCCCATCTGTTTCACAAAACATTGAAAGACATTTAATTAGTGTTCATAAATACATCTTTCAATGAAGAGAGATTCTTCTTCCTTTTTTTAGTGTGTTGAGTGCTCAGTTTAGCTGTCTTCTCACTTTATTCTTGGTGTGTTTCTGTTTTGTTTCAGCAATCTCTACAGCAAATTCTTGTTTGCACTAAAAAGTTGTCATATGGATTGTTTTGACTGTTTCCATGACATGTAAATGGATAAGGATTTTAAAAAATGTTCTCGGCTTTAAAACAAACTATATTTATTTACACATCTAGGTAACCAGACCTCCTCTTAAACTTTATCGCTTGTTCTTCCTCTGGCTGAAAAGAGAACATTTCTGTACTTTTATGAGATATTGGCAAAATGCCTGTTAATGCTCTAACCTACTGCTAAATATCACTCTGGCCTATTACCTGCTTTATAGCCATTTAGTTAGTAGTAGTACTCCTGAACAACGACTACCACAGCTCTGCCCATAGCCAGTTGGACAGAATTTCTACCTAGTAGGTTGTATTAGCAAATGAGGCTAGAAGCTGAGCAGAGAGCTAAAGAGCCTTCAGATTTCCATAAAGCAAAAATGCCCTGACATAAGGAATCTCTAAGGGCTCAGCTGCCTGTTTGAAATAGCAGAAGAGGAAAATGCAGGGAGAGGCCAAAGTTAGTATCCCAGTAAAATGATCCTGTCACTTATGAATGAAATTCAGAGCTAGTTAGGAAGACTTGGGAGGCATTTGTATAGAGATGATAGTTGAAGCTTTCTAAAAAAGAGAAGAGTTCAAATGAAGCCTCAGAGAAACTCTGGGCAGAAGGAAATAGAGTCAGAGATGCAGTATCAGGTAGGTCAATGAAGATAATGATGGAGACAAGGCCCCTAGGTTTACCGGTTGAGAAACCAGTTTTAGAAGCACGTAGGAAAATAAATCTGATTTTCAGGGGATGAAGAAATAAGTAAATGATAATATGCAAACAGGGGTACAGATAGCCCCTTTGAGAAGTTGCATGAGAAGGAACAGGATGGAGTAGCTAATGAAGGTTGTATGGGGGCGGAAAATGTTTTTGCAGGCTAAGAAGATTTTTGATAGCTTTGTGTGCAGGGGGAAAGGAGAGATGGAGGATGCAGGAGGACCCAACAAGGTTAAGGGGAGGCTGTTGTGTGTAGGGAAAAGAGAGTTTAGACCCTGAAAGTGCTTGCTAGAATCCTCTAGCTATATATTGGTCAATTTAATTGGCACACCGGAATCATTTTATTCGTCAGCAAAATAAAGACAAAATGCAGATAAAATAAAGATAAAAGTCTAGTGCAATAGTCTGACTCCTAGTGTGATTGAAGCATGAGGAGAGATGACAGGATGTTAGGGCTGGGAGAAATCTTCGAGACTGTCTAGTGACAACATGCTTATTTTACAAAGAAATGACACCCAGAGGAATAGAGTGGCCTGTTTAAAGTTATGCAACTGGTTAGAGAACTAGAATTTGCACCTGTAATTTCTGATTCTTAGTCCTCTTCTACTATGTCATAGCACTGACAGAGGAGGAACTTTACGGGACAAACATTAACAGTAACGCTCTAGGCTTGGCTTAAAGAACAGGCTACATGAGTACAGTTCGGAGAGGAAGGTTAAAAGGACAGTTGACTTATTACCAGTTTAGATAGGATAAACTTCAGGGATCTTAGTTTTCCACAAGTACAATATGAGCCAACAGTACAATCTGCTTCTGGAAAGGGTGACTCGGGAGACGGCCCAAACTGAGGATTTCAAACCACACCAGGAGTGTTCTGCCCAGTGGGGTTCCTTGGTAACTCAATGTGAGACCAGAGGACCAGTGAGCAGAGTGGTGAGGTGGCAATTTCCTTTGGTGAAGAGTTTTAGGGTTAAAATAATAATATTTAAAGGACTATTATGACTATTTAGACTTACAGAAAAGTTGCAGAGATATCACAGAGAGTTCCCTTTATACCCAATATACAGATCCACTTTGCCCATCCATTACCGGAGACATCCAATTGCTAAACCAACCTTGCCTCATAACAGCGCCCAGTCCCTAGTTAATCCTTGTTTTTCCTAGTCTTGCCCCAAGAAACAGCAACCAATGTAGAACTTGTCCCTGCTTCCCTTAGATCTTCCTCAGAATCTTTCACAGAAGACAAACTTTAGAAAAGATGCTTCCCTCCTCCTACCTGCTGAGTAGCATTCTGTGTTTGCTTGGTTGTGCCCTCCCTTGCTGCATCTACATTGATAAATCTGAGTTTGTCAGAGTACTGGCTTGCCTCCAGTGGTCTTTGGCAGATCAGACTTTAATAACTTATATAATAGGAGGTCTGCTAGACTCCGCCATACTTTTTAGAGATTTAAAGTTGATTTTGTGCATGAATGTACTGAATAGCCTATTTGATGCGATTTTGAAGGCAATGGATGAGCAGCCCTCTGGTGTGTCTGAAGTGGTGGTGAGGTTGGTAAAGATGGACCAGGGCTTTGCTATACTAGATTAAAATTTTTATATACAGTGTCTATTTTGTTAATGGACAATTAGAGATGGTAACAACACTAATAGCCTCCTCGGTTTTGGTAAATGCCTTTTCTTGAATTCACAGGATGCACTAGGCAGTGTGCCAAGTGCTTCCAGACATTATTTCATTTTATCCTCACAACACTTCCAATTTTCGAACAGGGAATGTGTGGTTCTGAGAAGTCAAGTTAGTTTTCTTTTTTTTTTCTTTTTTTTTTGCTGGGAATATTTATTTATTTATTTGGTCTATTAACACCACGATCTGCAAAAAACAACCTCTAAACACAAGATAAGAAAACTCGAACATTAACATTCTTCAATTTTGTGTAAACTCTGCAGTACGGAAAATATACAAACTTCAAACAGCTGCAAAAATAGTGTCTTTGGGAGAAAATAGAATTTCTACATCGATACAAGAAAAATAGGCATTTTTCTAATCCAATCCAGCCCTGGGGCAGGCGGAGAGTATAGATTTGCCATTTGCCACCTGGAGGAATGCCAGCTCTCCTCCCCACTACCCACCTGGGGCTGGGCGGGCTGGCCTGCTACTTAAGACAATCTTTAGTCAGGGTGAAAGCGAGATGAAAATGCCACTTGGGAAAACACTTGTTTCCTCCTTCTGCCAGCAGCTGAATTGGTCAAGTGTTAAGGCCCATTAGGACTGCTTTGGTCAGCTCCTCTAATGAGAGGGAGGCATGGGGATAGGGCTGAGAGGATGGGGGATCTATCTTATGGTCTCCTGGAAGGGAGGGAAGGAAATCTGTGGCGTCCTCTCTCCTTCATTCATGGCCAGCTTGCTCTGTGACAAAAATAAGGGCCTCCTATACAGTCATTTGGACTGACACCCAGGGGTGAGGGACTCCAGACCTTCTGGGTGTTTTCCCCCAAGTGAGGGATGTGGCAGGTACACAGGTGTGAGTTGTGAGCTGCCCAGCTGCCAGTGGAGAAGGCAGGTCCCATCACGTTCAGAGGGGCCAGTGCCCATCAAAAAGAGGACCCAGGACTTTGACACGATAAGTGAAAGAAAGTGCTCAAAGGCCGAGAGGGAAGGGCCCCTCCATACCCCATCTCAGGGGACCCGGGGAGGGACCTGCCACCAAGGCACTGGTCTCTATGGTAAAGTGGGACAGGGATGGGACCCTCAGACCATCAGGGAGCTCTGGAAAAGCACAGACTCTTCTGATGGTGGGGTGCGCTGCCATGGCTCGAAGGGCAGTGGGGAGGCCTCGGAGGCCTCCGGATCCTTCCGAGGTGGTGGCCTGGGGCTGGCCGGGGGAAGGGGAGACCCCGGGTTTGAGGGGCAGTTACGGAAGATGAAGCCTATGCCGGGGAAGAGGGGCTTCATCAGGTTGACGGGGCAGAAGGCTGAGCCGGTCGGGTTGAAATGGACTTTGTTCTTGTCAGGACAGGAAGTCAGGAAGGCCAGGTCAGGACCTGGGGACGTGGCTTCTTCAAACACACGCACTTTCTCACAGCCTCCTGGGGGCTCCCGTTTGAAGACGTAGCTATGATTAGGCCGAGGGGAGGCAGCAAAGGCAAGGACAGGAGATGGGCTGCCATCTTCAAGAAAGGCTGGGTGGCCTGGAGAGGAGGCTTTGTCGTTGGGGGTGGATGCCAGCTCCTCGGCGGCACCCCGGTGTTCCTCATGACTGGCCGGGCCACAAGGCTGGGGGGATGCCAAGGACATGGAAGGAGAGCTGGCAAGGTTGCCAGGCTCCAGGAGGAGGAGGGGATGATCACAGCTGCCACTCTGGGGAGGAGCTGGGGCCCGGTTCCCATCAGGGATCTCAAGGATCCTCAGCAGCTCCTCTTCTCCCTGCTCCTTCACAAACACCTCCTCCAGCTCTTGGTTGAGCCCTTCCAGGCTCCTGTGCAGGCAGGGGCTGAGTCGCAAGACAGGGGACCCTGAGGGGAAGCTGGGAGGGGACGCCCTCAGTGCTCCCCGCACTGCGTGGTCCCCTGGGAGTAGGGAACCTCGCTCCTTCTCTTTCCCACTGCGGCTCAGCTTTTGTCCTCTGCAGTTGTTGCTTCAACTTGGAAATCTGTTTTCGGTGGTCTGTGCTGCCCCAGGATGCCGAGCGCTTGTGTGCACAGGAGCTGGCACGCTCACCTTCTAGCTCTTGCCAGGACAGGGGTGTCTGGGTGGCCTTGTCATTGGTGCAGCAGGTGAAGGCCCCATCAGCATCTCGTGGCCACTGGCCCGGAAGGTAGGAGCTGAGGATGGTGTCCAGGGAGAATGTACGCCGGACCTGAAGTGGCTGAGGCCTAGACACTGACTTTTCTGGGGCCACCGAGCGTGGAACGCTGGCTGCACGGCCACCCCCGTCCCGGCGTTGGTGCGGCTGCTGCAGCTGGAAGGGGATCGTGGCCCTGAGCGGCTGCAGCCCAGCCCGGGGGGAGCCGGCGGGGGCTGGGGGAGAGCAACCCCGTCGGAGCACCCCCGACCCTCCACGCCCCGGCCCCCAGGCACCTCCGCCTCTGCCGCCAGCTGCGGCCCCTGCCATGGCCCGCCCGGCTGCCTGCCTCAGCCCCCCAGCGAGCCCCACGCCGTCAAGTTAGTTTTCTAAGATGGAAAGTAGCAAGGCAGGATTTGGACTCAGGGCTCTCTGATTCTGTCTTCTTAGCTTCTGTTAAGTTGTTTCGTTTACAGATTTTTAGGAGCTCCGAAATTGTGAGTTTCCACCCAACCCCCTGTCCCCTGCCCCAGTTAAGTTTCAGAAAAGTCCTTTAACTTTTGTTCATTGTAAAACGTATCTCCAGTAGAAGGGGTATGATATGGTTTGGTTCTGTTTCCCCACCCAAATTTCATCCTGAATCGTACTCCCATAATTCCCACGTGTTATGGGACAAACCTGGTGGGAGGTGATTGCATCATGAGGGCGGGTCTTTCCTGAGCTGATCTCGTGATAGTAAATTAGCTTCAGGACAGCTGATGGTTTTAAAAAAAAAAAAAGAGAGTTCCCCTGCACAAGCTTTCTTTGCCTGCCGCCATCCACTTAAGATGTGACTTGCTCCTCCTTGCCTTCTGCCGTGATTGTGAGGCCTCTCCAGCCATGTGGAACTGTAAGTCCAATAAAACTTTTTTCTTTTGTAACTTGCCTAGTGTCAGGTATGTCTTTATTAGCAGTGTGAAAACGGACTAATACAGGGCATCTGGCTTTTCTGGGTTTTGCCTGCACTGACGGAGATGTGGCAGCCATTGCCTCTGGTCTCTGATTCTAGTTTTGGCTTTCTATGATCTTCTCTGCTGTCTTTGTAGGGACCAGAGTCATGAGAATAACCCTCACTAAGGTGACCTAATATCCCTTTCAAATTTTAAACTGATGTGTGTATTTGACATTACTGCAAGTTTTAATGACGTCTTCTAAATATTTACTACCTTATTGTAAATCTCCTGCTTAATGAGGAGAACCCAGTGGAAGATTCTGATACTCTGACTTTGGTTTTTGTGGTTTGGTTTTGTTGTCTATAAGGACCTTCTAGGTCTTTCGGCTCGGCAGAGTTTGATTGGGACAGAGTACAAGTTGCTTCTCATGCAATTTATGTGGTTGCGGCCCAGTGAAATAGTTCTTTTAATGTTTGGGAAACACTCAAAGGGAACTGAAACTTTTTTTTCCATAGGAACCCTTCAGTGAATATGCTATTTCAATAGGCCAGCTAATAATTCTCTGAGAGCTGGAGACTCACATGGGTCCTTGCCCACTTCTTTTTCCTAAAGAACCTTAGGAGCAAGTATTTACCACAGATGTGACCACTAGCGGGGCCCCTGAGAATACTCAGCCTCTCTAAGATTTTGGTTCAGGTCATTTTGCTCTTTGCAAAGTCTTTTGCTAGTGACAGAAAGTATCTGTTGACCTGGTCTCTCTATTGCAGTTAAGTGATACCTTAGCCACTGAAAAGATTATTCCCTTGAGTAGAAATGGAAGAATGTTTCTATCTGGTAAACAGAAAAGTTGGAGGGTGGGAAACTATAACTGTGAGAGGCTGGAAATGGGGGTTGGGAAATATTTGACAGCATTTACATGGCAATCTTGGATATTGGGATGGCTTCATAGGGGGTATGCAATAGAAAAATGTGATATTTATTATAAATGTGTTTGGAAAAATAAATGCTTTATACAGAAAAATCCTAGTCTTGGCAGGAAGTAGTACTCCCTGACCTAAAAGGCCTTTTCCATATTGAATTCATCTGATTCAATCAAGGTTTGTGAGTCATGAGGAAATGTATATAAAGGTTACAGCTCCAACAGAAGGGCAAAAGATGTATTCCTTAGTAGAAAGCTGCAGAGCCCAGTAAAAAACAACACACACACAATTTGAAATCAAAAAAATCTAAAATCAAATCCCTACTTTGTTACTCTCAGTGTAATGTTAGGCAATTTGCATAGCCTCCGATTTTCTTGTCTGTAAAAGTGAGGTAACAATACTCATCTTATAGGATTACACAAAAGAACATAAGTAGAGAGTAGATTAAAAAAGGATAATTCTCATGGTTGTTATGTAGTCCCTGTAAATAGGATGGAGTCCCAAATCAAAGAACAGGCAAATGAGAACAGAAATATTTAACTGTGGAACCAAGAATTGCTTTAAAATTTAAAGCACTTTAAAATTCATATTAAAGTGAGCTGAACAGTAGTTTAAACTTTCAAATATAAAAAGTTGGTTTGGGAGAAATGAAAGAAGAATAGTTATCAGCTCCTGAAAAGGGTGAGTGCTCCACGCTGGCCCTAGAAAGCAGCCCAAGCCGCCAAAGGGCTGTTTAGCCTCACCTGTTGGCAAAAGGGAACACCTGAAAGGATGATTTGGGAGTTCACTATTGCACCTGGCTCTATAAACGCCGATTTCCCTTCTCAGACATTTTAAGAGTCTGGCAAACAGAGCTTCTCTTTGGCTAACAGGAAGTCTTGCCAGAGTATTCTTAGAGTCCAATTACGGCATTTGTTTCCACTTACAATTAGGCAGCATTTGCTCAACTGTCGCAAATAATGAGGGATCTAAGAGCTCAGAGGGTGGTAGCAATATAATTTAACTCTTTCATAAAGATCTTCATGATGTTGCATTAGGTGCTTGGGTGATATTTGGTCAGCCTACAGTATGGCCAGGTTAATCTGGAATGACCAATCTCGTGAGCCTATTTCATTATAGATTCATTTTCCTTTTGCTTTATATTAAGATATAAATTCCCCATTCCTGTCAAAAGTATCTTCACTGTCTCCAGGCCCAGGGACTTGGTCATTTGTCTTTAATTGTACTCAAAACACACCTCAAGTCCTCAAGTGTCACTATGAAGGTCTCTCTCCTCCTCACTGTCCTTTCCTTCCTTTGGACCACATAAGTTAGCACAGTTGCTAGTTGAGCATTTGGATTTCTTTTTCTTCCTCACTAGGTTGTAAATCTAAGAGTTGGTCTTATATATCTAGCTTTAATAATTATCGATTAAATGATTTTTAACACTCATGTTAAAATTATAATATGCTGAAGCAAAATAAGGTTATTTGTAGACTAAGCACAAGAACATGCAAAGAAAGCATAAAAATAGCAATTCTCTTTTTATTTAATGTTGCTTGGCTTTAAAAGGAATTGGTTTTTGATTAGCCAAGCACAAAAATGATCTGTTTTTTGAGACTTTTCATAGTTCCTTTAAGTCTTCACCAGAGGTGGTTTTATTCTGGGGGGTGTGCTGTAGGATAAGTTCCTGTCCTTGTTTTTATTCAAATGACATTATTACATGATTCAATAAACACCCTTGATTGCTTTGAAAGAAAGCACTTGCTGACTTGACTGCATTATATCCACTAGATGGCAGGCAACTGTTAGAGAAATTTTTTTGAGAACCTGAATTACGATTTTTTTTTTTTTTTTGGCGGGGGTGGGGGTGGTGATTGGTATATTTCCACTGACCTGTCTCAGTCAGCAGGCCTTGCCAATAACTCCTTAATTTCTATAAAGTTCTTCAGCTTTAGCTTTCCAGAGATTTTAAAAGTGATTGCAAAACATTCCATAAAATATAGCAGCCAGATATTTTTCCACTACAACACTGAACCCTACACTGACCTTTTATTCCCCCTAATTTTCTTAAACTATAAATGGTGTCCTGACCTAACATGGGAATTAAAATAAACTATAACGAGGAAAAATGTATTTTTCTGAGAAATGGAGAAACCACACAAGTTTTTATGTATATGAAACCTGCAGTTTAAAATGTCAGAATTATTATTTTTTAAAACAATGATGTGAAACCGTTTTGCCTACATGTGTGTAAGCACTCTTTGAGAGAGCTTGGTGCACACTGTATCATAGATGCCAGCGCTTCCACTTGACATTCCTGTCATTGTTTGAGATGATTGCAACGCCTCTCAGTAAATCTCCATTCTACTCCAGTGCACTCGCTTCCCAAAGTAGTCAGATGCTACTGTTTGTGCATTTCAGTGACTGCTAGGCTTCCTCTACCCTAGTTATGAGTATTTTCTTATTTTCTGCTGCATTTTTCATATGTGATTGGTCCTCTAGGTATGCTAATAAGATTCACAGATGAAATGGATGGTAAAATGAATGAGATTTAATTCAACTGTGCTAGTTCCCATACCTTCTTTAGAATCACATATTTCCCTATCACTATGAATAAGACGAGGTGAACACTGCCCAATTAACTTATGGTGTTCAGAATTATAACTTGGAATTTGTTACATTAAAAAAACTAAACAATATTACATATGGGCTTATTAAAAGCTTTATATTTGCTGCCTTCAACATTTGTATTCTTATTTAGTTTAGTTTATTGAAAATGAGGCTCTAGCAAGAACTATGAAAGTTTGAAATGTGAGAGAGGAAATTTTGACATAATTACTAAACTCATCAGTCAGATTTTGAATATCAGGACAAATGAACAACACCTGCATCTCACACCTGTGACTCCAGGATCCTTGCTGAATGTTGAGAGAGAAATGGGGAGTGAAGTGCCTGGGGTCAAAGGAGCTGCTTGCCAGAGTGCAGCACTTTTTTTTTTTCCCTTCTCAGCTGTTAAGGATTTTTTTTTTTCTCTCTCTCTCTCTTTTTTTTTTTCTTTTTCTGAGACAGAGTCTTGCTCTGTCACCAGGCTGGAGTGCAGTAGCGCGATCTCGGCTCACTACTACCTCTGCCTGCCAGGTTCAAGCAATTCTCCTGCCTCAGGCTCCCAAGTAGCTGGGACTACAGGCACAAGCCACCACGCCCGGCTAATTTTTATATTTTTAGTAGAGATGGCGTTTCACCATGTTGGCCAGGATGGTCTCAATCTCTTGACCTTGTGATCCACCTCAATCTCTTGACCTTGTGATCCACCTTCCAAAGTGCTGGGATTACAGGCATGAGCCACTGCACCCAGCCTGTTAAGGATTTTTAATGGATGTGTAGAAATGAAAGCTCAGGATCTCTGAATTGGGCTTTTCATACCCTCCCATGTACAATAAAAAGTACTATTTGAAAAGTGACAAGATGGCTGAATAGGAACAGCTCCAGTCTGCAGCTCCTAGCGAGA